CGAATGGTGTTTCTAATAGGAAGGACATTTGGAAGAGCCCACATCATCCTCTGAGTTCAGTCTTCAAAAAATAAAAACATTCGCCAGACCATCCATTCAGTGCTCAATGTTTGTCTTCAAGTTTGTGATGGAGGAGTTCAGATGGGGAGAGACTGTCAGTGTTTCGGCAGGTCCTGCCCCTCGGGGTCTCCAGCCCACAGGGAGGGTCTCTGGGAGCTGCACAGATTCAGCACTAACAATGTTAAGGAGTGGCAATTCTCACCCTGCAGGCAGATGATCCATTAGTTACACCCTCCCTCTGTGTCTGGGGCCAGCGTGAAGCCATTACAGGTCTTTAGCTGCAAAATAATAATTTTATGATGAGATAAGGGATCATTTTCTTTCTAGCCTGTTTTAAATGAGAGAGGATGATAGGCCTTTCTCCCAGGAACTAAATCATCTCTTTGTATACAATTCATGCAAAATGGATATTATAAAATATAAATGAAACTCAAATGTGTCATATAAAATCATTCCATAATGATAGTTAAGGACGTAGCTAAGCTGAATAATCAGGACACACCAAAAAACATATCTTTAAAAATATAAACAATTCTTTCTGCCACTGGAAGTGAGCACAGCCATCGGACTTATCTTGCATCCTAGGCTCACTGCCTCCGCCATCTCTTCCTTAAAAAGAAGGTCCTTGAAACAAAACACACACACAGCATGCTTTTGTCCTTCTCAAATATTAAGAGTGAGAGGGTCAATCTCTTTAAAAGTTTAGGGATCTAAGTGACTAATGAAAGGGCCAAATCAACCAAAACAGGCATTTATCAGGAGAGAGGGAGCTAGTTCATCGTGACTAGTGGAGTTGGCTGAGAAGGAAATACACACAGACTTCCAGCCACGTAGCTGCCCCCATCCACCTGCCTTCTCCTCCTCCTCCTCTTCTTTTTTTATGTCAGAATATTTTGGGGCTGCACACACTTTGGTTATATAATTTTTCCTACCTGTCTTCTAAGAAAAAAAAGAAAGAAATCATACTTTTCAAAATATTTGCATTTCTAAGAGGTCAGCTATGGGAACATGATTAGTGAGGGGATAGACCAACCTTACAGTATCTTTTAAGGGAAATGGTTCTGTTGGGGCTGATGGGAAAGTGTAGTTGGCAGTGAGCTCGCTCTGTTGCTGAGTGCCCACACGCTCACGCCAGCTTCCTCTTCTGTGTGACACAACAGTACACACACTGCGGCCGTTTCCGTACCCTTCTCGTCGAGGGGACATTTTATAGAATGGAGATCAGATATTTCAATCTGGAGATCAGATATTTCAACTGAGATGATCTCATGAATGTTACTGGCACCTAGTGGGGAGGGGCCGGGGGACACTAAGCCTCCTTCAGTCCCAGGCCAGAGCCCTGCCCCAGAGTCATCCATCCCCAGTGTCAGCAGTGCGAGGTGGAGCTGTCCCAACTCACGGTCACACCCAACCGGTAGTGAAGCCAATTCCTCTGCTTGTCTCATTTGCATTGGTGTGTACTCCTGTGCTGAGGCTCCATTAAGCAATTCAGTGAATGTATACGTTCTTAGAGAGCTATGGGAAGAATTGCACAAGAAAATCACACATGGCCTCAGTGTTGAGACACTGTAATGGGCAGTGAGAAGGCGAGGTAAACATCCACGAAAAAGGCCACTCTAAAACGTCACGGACTTTTGTTTTCTCTGGAGCTTAATCACGGACAGTCCATGGACATTTCCTGGACACTTGCAGTGTGTACCTTTTCTTCCTGGTTTTGCAGATTGTCAATTCAGATGATACAGTGTCTCCCTGAGCTGTTGGCACAATAATACTTTATAACAACACACCCCAAACTCAACCGGTTAAGGGAACTGTGTATATCCTCCCTGAGTTTTCTGCTACCGGCAACATGCAGGCTCCAGGCTGCAGCTGGGGTGGGGTCTTTTAAAAATGTCTCTGTCCTGGGTAGTGTGGGAGATAGAAAGCGCTTCTTATGGTGAAGGCAGGAGTGCAAGAGGGCCAGGGTGAGTAAGCAGGCATAAAGTTGGGTCCCCTGATACTGGGACACCCCACTGGCTGAGACAAATCACATGGGCAAGGTCAAAGTCAAGGTGTGCACAAGTACACTGTGTTCCCTGGGAGAGAACTGCAAGTGAGCTGGCCTCATGCAACACCACCGGAGAAAAAATTGCAACTTTTCAACTAATAAATTCATTTTACTGTTTCCATTTAACTGTAACATTACAAGAACTTCTTTAACTCATTTGGGTGTTTTTGACTGCCATTATTACTGCTAAATTGTTGCTATTTTGAATTGTGTGTTGTAAAATGCACATACGTAAAATTTGCCATCCAATCATTTTTAAGTGGCATTCCATATATTCACACTATTGTGCAGCCACCACCACTCAGTAGTTATCTGTGGAACTCTCTGCATTTTGCAAAACTGAAATTCTCTGCCCATTAAAGAATAATCCTCAATTCCCTGGGACTGAATGCTTTTATTAAAAAAAAAAAAA